CGCCCATCCGACCGCGTCCTTACCTAGATCCTGCAAATACAAAGAGAAACAACGGGGTGACCACAAATTAATGCTCAGTAAGTAAATCCTCTACTAGTCTGTCCCCGTAACTCTTTCTCTTAATTCTTTCCTTACACTCTTCTCATCTCATTTATTTTCTCTTTCTGTTTCTCTTTCACATAGATATTTTCTATTAACTTTCTATTGTATGTCATGGCCTCATCTTACCGGAGGCACGGCTGAGTGGAGATCACAAAGCACCCACCCACTCTTCGTGACTTCTACTCATTCTCTTCCTCTATTTTTTCTCATATTTTCTCATTCTTCCTCACTTGAATGTCACGGTCTCATCTTATCGGAGGCACGGCCAGGTGGAGTTCACAAAGCACCAACCCACTGTTCGTGACTTCCGGGTGGAGTTTACTAAGCACCAACCCATTCTTCATAACTTCCGGGTGGAGTTCACAAAGCACTAACCCATTCTTAGATTTTTCTCATTCTCTTTACTTTTAGAGTAGCCCATTCACAAAGTTCTCTACTCTTTCTCAAACTACTTCTCAATGTACAATTAATGCATAAGGATGATTCATGCTTAAATTTTCTTACTTAATGCACTTATGAAATGCACAAATGCAATATTGCATCAAGATAGTCATTTTGCACAGGTCACACTCAAGAAGGCATAACTTGAGTTATACAAATCAGATTGCTACGATTTTGGTCTTGTTTAAACCTTAGAGACAGGGCTACAACTTTTACGTTTTGGTCTCAACCCAGTTCAATCTATAAAATGCCCAAAAATCACTCAGAAAGTCACCGCTATGACAGGACAGTTTTCACTTAAGCATTTCATCAAACATTAGTTGTGCATAAACAAACCCTAATTCAATTATCATTCTATTTATTTCTCAAACCATCCAAAATGAGAGAAAAACTCTCTTGTAGCATCACATACCTACATGGCAAACACACTCCACAAAAATTTCTCCAATTCTTCCAATTTCAACCCATCATCAAATCATCACATATACTTCTCATATTCAAATATATCCAACAACAAGCATAATTCATCATCAATCTCATCTCAATTTCTCAATAATCAAAACATATGCATATTTAAAAGAAATCTCTACTCACTTGAATTCTTAAATTTTAGCTTGAATTGGATTTTGAGTGGAATTTACTTACCTTGTGCTTGAGTAGTCTCTCCTAAGCTCTCTATTCTTGTTGGATTCCAATCTTCTCTTAACCCTAAGCATAAACTTCATAAGAACTCAACCTTTACACAAATAAATCATAGATAAAGAGCATGAATCCTTACCTTTTAATGCCTAGAATCAAAACCCTATGAAAAACCATTTAAAAGCCCTCAAAATCCTTGGAGGATTGAATGACAATTTGAGAGAAAATGGGGGAGGAGTGTGGCGGTGGAATGAAGAAAATAAGGGTTTCAAACCCTTAACACTTTAATTTATAACCACACTTTCCCATTTTGCCCTTGCTCTTTCTTAGAAATTTTATCTATGTCCCTTATTCAATTACAATAATGCCCTCATTTTTAATGCATTCTCTATGAAATTCTATCTCTTTTCACTCCCCACAATTTCAACTAATTTTGAGTGAAAAGACCATTTTACCCCTGATGAAAGTTTAAGGGATTTTCTTCACATTTTTCTCAAAATAACTTTAACAAAAATTCAACTAAGGGCCAACCAACCAATATTAACAATATATTAACCCAAATGAGAGCAAAACAATAAACATTCAAGCAATACACTATAACTTAGCTACGTACCTCAAGTGGGGCGTTACACTTTGTTGATTAAGAGGTTAGAAGAGATCCGTAAGGACTTTGGAGAAATTTAGTTTGGCATGTTCATAACTTTCATCTACTCCAAGCTGAATTTGAGCTTACTAAAGAGGACGCTACTAGGAAAGTAGAGTTTGGTTCCTCTCATCTCATTTATCTTGTGTTGCAGAAGATGCACATGGTACAGTTAGTTGGCAAAGACAAATGGATATTGGCTACTGACAAAGGAAAAATAAAAATTGAGGAGAGTGAAGAAGAAGAGGAAGCTAGAGATGGCTCAAAAAGTTCTGATTCTCCTACTGAAATCTTGCCAAGAAGGAAAATTCCAAAGCTGGACAAAATGAAGCTGGACCAAGGGAATAAAAAAGGCTCTCTATTCTCTAGCTTGGTTGATGGATAAACTTCCACCATTCCCTCCACCATCTTCACCTCAAAATCATTAGCCCATTTTGTTATTTTTTCAAAACCTTTTTAGTTTAAGTCTTTATTTACTTTGCACATTGGGAACATTTGTGTCTTTTGGACACCTACCTTTACTTGTGGACGTCACGGTTATATATCAATGCAAATGAATGTTTATTAACTCATTTCTTTTCCTCGATGTTATAATGTTGTATCTTTTTTATTGATGACAAAAAGGGGGAGAGAGAAGATGGAAATTAAGTTGTGTTGTGTTATTGAAGTGTTGAGATTGTGTGTTGGTATGGAAGTGTTGTTGATAATGTATATTGAAGTTGTTTTTTGCTTGATTGTTGTGAATTGTATTTATAAATTGAAATGTTAGTTTATTGAGAGAATATGCTTGGTGAAAGGGAGCATTTGTGCTCAAAATTCATGTTTGAAAATGCATATTTGGAAGAAGAGTTAATAGTTTAGGGGGAGCTCTTCTCAAGTTTGGCTTATAAAGAATGAATGTTCAATATATGTTATTATGCTTATTTGAAACTCAATTTTTGTTTAGTTTTATCATCAATCAAAAAGAGGGAGATTGTTAACCTATCATGTGTTTTGATGTGCAAAAACTATCCAAAAAGTTGATTGAACACTAACCATAATATGCTAAGGTATGACATTAGTCATAACCAAACCAAAACAGGTTTATCAGGTGGTATGATCGTGCATAAGCAAATTTCTACGTAGGTACGACTGTGCCAAGCAAGGCACGACCATGCCATAAGAGAAAGTTGTCTTGCAATGTCACACAACATTTGGTCGTTCAACATTCTGCCAAATTGAGAGGCACTCGCATGACCAGACTACACTCGCACGACCAGCCTGCACGACCGTGCACTTAAGTCAAAAAGTCAAGATATTTCAAATTCAGATCGCTTCGCGCTCTTTACTTCATCTCAAAGGTCAAAGTCAAAACTCAAGGTTCAAAATTGGAACAATTGTTCCTGGTGATGGAATGACCATTCGTATCTGAAGAGTTTTGCATGACATCATTCCAAGAGGTCGTCACACCTTTGGAAATTTAAGAAGATTTGGAAGAGCATCTGGATATGATCATTCTGTGTGGTAGAATGACTGTGCAATGTCTTTGCATGATCATATGGCATGGTGGAATTATCGTTCCAGTTAAACTAGATTTGAGAAAAATGATCGTTGTGTCAAGAATGACCATTTGCGATTATGAAATGACTATTCTTCTAGGTTCTGGAGACTTTATCAGAACTACATACATTAAATGCTGCAATGGCTAATCTTTTTAGTGTTATAAAAAATCGACCTTTTTAGGGAAAAAGAGAGAGAGAATAGTCATAGTAAATCATAATACATTATCATACAATCCCTACAGCCCAAGATCCAAATCATATACTCTCACTTGTACTCATTTTGTAAACCTTTGAGAGTTCACTTGTTCTTATTGTGTGTATAAGCCTGTGATAAAATCCTATAAAACTAGGTGCAATCTTGTAAATCTAAGTGTGTGAGGTGAAAATCCTTGTGAAAACTATTGTATTGGTGAAACCCAAGTCTAGTGGGACTTCAAGGAGGTTGCCTTGAAGAAGTGGGTGTAAGAGGCTTGTGGATATAGCTCTGAACCACTCTAAATCCTTGAGCATTTCTCTCTCTCTCTCTCTCTCTCTCTCTCTCTCTCTCAACTCTTTGTCATTCATTGCATAGTTGTTGGTTGAACATCATTATTTCACTTGTTCTTGCATTCACTGTTCATATTTATTGCCTACAAGTTGAATTCATTTACTGTTCTCTTTTGAGTTCATTTATTGCTCATTTGCATTAACTTTAACCCTATCATACTTTGGTTGGTGAGTTTAGTCATTGAACATTGTTTTGATGAACTCATCATTTGCTTTAACTTTTATTCCACAAATATTTTTATTGATTCCTATTCACCCCCTTCTAGGAATATTAGCCATATTTAGGGTTTAACAAATTGGTTGCAAGTGGGTGTTCAAAAGAAAGCTGCGGGTAGATGGAACAATTGCCAAATATAAGGCGAGGCTTGTTGCAAAGGGATTCTCACAAATTAAGGGTGTTGATTATGGTGAGATTTTCTCACCTATGGCCAAGTTAACATCAATCAGGTATGTTCTATCTATAGTGCTGCATATAATCTTGAAATTGAGCAATTAGATCTAAAGGTTGTGTTCTTACATGGAAATTTGGAGGAGGAAATTGACATGAGGCAACCAGAGGGGTTTGTATGCAAAGGGAAGGAAGACTTGGTGTGTAGGTTGAGGAAGTCTCTATATGGGCTTAAACAGTCACAAAGGTTGTGGTACCAAAAGTTTAATTCACGTATTCTTCAACATGGCTTCAGTCACAGTAACATGGATCATTGTGTCTACGTGAAAAGGTTAGATAATTTTTTTTTTTTTTTTTTAACCTTATGTGTGGATGATATGTTACTGATAGGGAATAGCAAAGAGTTAATAAATTTTGTCAAGGGTTGTTGGTTGTGTAGTTCAGTAGTTCTTAGTGCTACAAATTTCATTTTGGATATGCAAATTACAAGAGATCATTAGAGTTGTAAATTATGATTAAGGTAGAGAAAGTACATTGAGAAGTTGTTGAAGAAATTCAACATGGTAGACTGTAAACCTGTGAAGACTCTTATTACTTTGGGAGCAAAAATTGTATACTGATCAGTGTCCAAAGTCTGAGGAAGATGATGAAGAAATGACACATATGTCGTATGCTAGTGTTGTAGGTGGTTTATTATGCCATGGTGTGCACGGGACCTGATATTGCACAAGCAGTGGGAGTTTTAAGTCGATTTATGTCTAATTCTAGCAAGAAGCATTGGAGTGCTGTAAAAAGGGTTCTTAGATATCTACATGGGACCTCAAATTTAGCATTATGTTATAGGGGCATGGCGATTGGGGATGAGCTAGATGTAATAGGACTTGTGTATGCTGATTGGGGAGGTGATCTCGATAGTATGCGTTCTACAAGTACATATGTATTCTCTTTATTTGGTGCCATTGTTTGTTGGATGAGCAAAAGACAGAGTACTGCGGCTTTGTCATCGACTGAGGCAGAATACGTGGCACTAACACATGCTGGCAAGGAAGCTATGTGGCTTTGAAGATTGAGTTTAGAACTTGGTTTCGAGCTTGATGTTGGGAAGATATGGTGTGACAATCAAGGGGCTATTTATTTAGCCACGAATCCGGTCTTTCATTCACGATCAAAACACATTGACATACAATACCATTTCATCAGGCAGAAGGTGGAGGAAAAATTGGTGTTGTTAGAGAAGGTTGATACACTTGTCAATGTTGCAGATTTTCTGACCAAGACGGTAAGCTTAGCAAAGTTTACATGGTGTGTGATGAGGTAGGCTTGCATTGTGTGATGTACTCGCCAAGTGAGAGAATGATGGAGTTGTCAACCACTTCAGTATTAATGGACTACGCAAACGCATTCGAGTGGTAAAAAATTGCAATTTTATTTTTGATGGTAGTGATTTCGCTCGCTTCACTTGAATATAAATATAAATAATAATGAATTATATGCAACTCTGTTATTTTTAACTAGTGAAATAAAATATTATTATTATTTTTAAAAAAATAATGAAGATGCACGAATGTTATCTTTCATGTGATCAAGTTGATTTATAATAACTTAAATTTTTTACTTAATTTAAGACCCCGATTTAGAACTATTGATAAATCATAATCCAACGGTTGAAAATGTAAGGAAGTGACACATTAAATAATTACTTGTAACTTCACATTCATCAACCGTCAAATTATTTCTAATTAGCAGCTTAAATTTTAAATCACCATTTTAAGTAAAAAAATAAATTTAAGTTAATATATGTATATATTTATATATTTTCCAGTTAAGATGTCATAATATAATATCAAGACCCTGCTTAATCATTCATTGTGTAAGGACATTTATTAATAATTATTGATGATGATTTTTGAGATCAAGTTCAAATGATCTATGGTATTTTATTTCATTTTTGGAGATAAATATTATTTGGATTACTTGAATGAAACTATATTTATTTTCTTTTTACTCTTTTATCACATTTTTAAAATTAATCTATATATTTATATAATCCTGAAGCATGGCCTATTTGATTATCATAAATGATTTTTAAAACTCTAAAATTGGTGGATTTTGACATATTGGATGATTGTTCGACACGTGGTTGCATTTAATTGGTGATGATATGGGATAAGTATATTTGACTGCATATAATTGGTGATGATATCAGATATGTGGATGTGTGTGGCTTAATGTAATTGGTGTTTGATATTTGTTAGTATTAATGAGACATATTACTACTCAAAAAGAAAATCAAGAGTCAAATTTAAGAACATCTGATGCTATCCACTTCCACTGGATGTTTTACACACCAAAAGACACACAATTAACGTTTTACACATTAAATGACACAAACATTTCACTTTCCATTGTTTCTCGGTTTCCACTAAACAGTCAATAATAAATTGATCATAACTTGTTCAATAAAAGTCCAATTGATGAAAGAATTGAAGCATTGGAAACTAGACAGACAAGGATTTAATTTGATATATTATATGCTAAATTTGAATAATTGTAGACCCTTCGCATTCTGGTCGAAAAGATATGACCCGTTTCTTGGTTTCTATTGAACAGTCAGTAGTAAATTAGCCATGACCTGCTCAATAAAAGTTCAATTGATGAACAAATTGAAGTATTGGAAACTAGATAGATATGAATTTAATTTGATATATTATATGCCTTGTTGCCAAACCATTTATCTAAATAATTTTTGCTTTCCTCTGTTTCTCAGTTTCCATTGAACAGTCAGTAGTAAATTGGTCATAACTTGCTCAATAAAAGTCCAATTGATGAAGAGATTGAAGCATTGGAAACTAGACAGAGATGCTGCCTTTGATATGGAATATGCCTTACTGTCAAACCATTTATCTGAATAAGTTAATAATAATTGATGGTCTACTTAAAGCTTTGTTTAGTCAAATAAGAAGATCTATAAATTCGTGTTTGTCCCTTCATATTCACATAAATACAAATGTTTCACATTCTCATTCCACCATGACATCATCGGTCAGCTATTGCCGCATTATGTTACTTGGTTTCAACAATATGATTGGTTTCAATAATTCGGTACGCATATCTCTTTATAATGATGAAAATCAATTAATTTTTGTTATTGTTGTTTATAGGGAAAAGATTTATGTATTGGAATGGAATCAAGCTGAGGATGTTTCTATTACCAAAATACACAAACATGATGTTTTCCTCTGTTTTTCGATTTCCATTGAACAGTTAGTAGTAAATTGGTCATAACTTGCTCAATAAAAGTCAAATTGAAGAAGGGATTGAAGCGTTGGAAACTAGATAGACAAGACTCTAATTTGATATACTATTTGCTACCTTTGATATGGAATCTACCTTGCTACTGAACCATTTATCTGCATAAGTTTTGCTTTCCTCAGTTTCTCGGTTTCCATTGAACATTCAGTAGTAAATTGGTCATAACTTGCTCAATAAAAGTCCAATCAGTGAACAAATTGAAGCATTGGAAACTAGACAGACAGTGGTTTAATTTGATATGTTATATGTTACCTTTGATATGGAATATGCCTTACTGCTGAACCATTTATCTAAATAAGTCAATAATAATTGAGGGTCTACTTAAAACTTTATTTATTCAAATAAGAGGATCTATATATTCATGTTTGTCCCTTCATATTCACATTAATACAAATGTTTTGCATTCTCATTAAATAAACATAGTTGAAGAATGAATTTCACAAACAAAGAACTGAAATTGTTAGAAAAAAACTAAACAAAATATGAGAAAGGCTCCGAACAAACACTGCAAGCATTTTCGAAAGAATCATCACAGCACCAGAAGACAAAGCTGAAAGAATCTTATTCTCGCAAACAATGAGACTGGCAGTGATAGTGAAGGAAGAATGAAGAGAAGAGAAGATAAAGAAATAGAAAATTAGTGAAGTGGAGGAGGAGAGAAATTTGTGAAGGAATTTGGGAGAAATGGTATAAAAGGAAAGAAAAAAAAGCCCCCTAGAAATTTGTTAACCCAATATCAAAACGGGTTGGCTACAAAATAATATTACTCATGTTATTTAATGAATTAAAATATTTGTAATGTCATTCCATTTTGATTTTATACTTATTTTAAATTGGTATATATTTAATATTATTTATTTGGATTAATTTAGTATACATTCCATCCTGTCTAACATATATCAAATTATTTAAATATATATTTCACACATGTAATATTTCTTTATTATTTATTGTTTTAATTATTAATTCAATAGTAAATTAACTTAAATATAAACAGTTCATATTCATATAAGTACTATCACATTATTTTCAATAACAGTTCATAAACAACAATATGTTATCGACAAATAACAATATTTAAAATACAATTCTATAAACATATCCGCGTAATGCACAGGCCTTAATTTAGGCTCGTAAACTAAATTCATGGCTTTATGAATGACAAAAAGAAAATACATCAATTATATAAAGTAAAAGTTGGGAATACACACGCGCCTGCATAAGCGAGCGCGCGCGCGCGCGCACACACACACACACACACATATATATATATATATATATATATATATATTATATATAAACAAATGACTAAAAAAACAGAAATTAAAAAAGGGTTAGATAAGATCCTGACAACATGCCTTTCTGAGACCCTTTAGACTCTTTTGAAAAGACTTTCTGACAAAATGGTGGATGAAATTTCGAAAGGACTCGTTCATTACACACACAAAAGAATATCAATATAGTCCCTTGTATTTTAAAAGTTCACCCAAAAAATACTTAAATATATCAACACAAAATTGTAATGCTCAGTACTTTTATCAAGTCTAACAGTTTTTGTTACCAAATTTTATATCTTTTATTTAGTTGCAAAAAAAAAAAAAAAAAAAAAACACCACTCACCATATTTTATCTACCTCGGTTGCCTTATTAACGTTAACTCTTATCACCTCTCTGTGTCATGTATTTATCTGAGGTGTGGTACACGTTTTTACCGTCAGGATTTAGAATTTCCTTTTCTTGTTACATTCACCGACAAGGCACTAGGGCCCGGGGCCACCATGTTGAAAAATCAATTTTGGAATTTCAAGGCGACTTAGACCCACATAATATATGCCCTTATCTTACTCTTGACAAAATATTAATATATTATAGATTAATGTGACAGCTGACGTCGCCTGAGTGATCTCACTCCTCTATCGGTTATCACCTAAGTTTTTCTTATACTTTTCTACCACTTCTTTATTTTATGAACACAACTTAATTAAATACATCAAAAAGAATAAATGACCTATTGTGTCGTGCCCTAGGTCGGTCCACTGTCAACTCTAATCTAAGGTGTGATACACGTTTTATAATTTCCTTTTTTTTTTTTTTTGTTGTGACAACCACCGACAAGGCCCTAGGGGCTACCATGTTGAAAAATGAGAGCTCTTAGCATCAATAAAAACAATTCCTATAGAAAACTGAGCATCAATAATTGAGTCTTCCAAAATGATTTTCAAGGCGACTTAGACCCACATAATATATGCCAGTAATGCTATAGGGATCAAGAATAGTATACCGAATTTATGTACCGAATAATATGACGTAATCTTGATCATCGATTAATATTAAATTATAATTAATCAACGATCATGATTATACTATGTCATTCAGTGTACATAGTCGGTGTATTACTCCCCGATGTCCCTATTATTTTTCATGCCCTTATCTTACTCTTAACAAAATATTAAAATAAATTATAGATTAATGTGGCAGTTGACGTTGCCTGAGTGATCTCACTCCTCTATCGATTATTGCGTAATTTTTCCTTATACATTTCTACCACCTCTTTATTTTACGAACACAACTTAATTAAATACACCAAACAGAATAAAGGACCTCTCATTTCAAACAGAATAACTTTTTTTTTTTTTTAATTTTTTTTTAAATTTTTTTTTATTTTAGTTCATATTTTTTTCAATTTTTTAGTTCTTGTATTTATTATTATTATTATTATTATTATTGTGCTTTAAGTAAAAGTACATGTGG